GGAAGGAGGCGAGCGGGACGGGCGGGGCGGCAGATGGGGAGGCGGCTAGGGTTCTACCTGCTGCTGACGGAAGTAGCAGGGTTTGAAGGAGCGGCAGATGTGGGCATGGTTGCGGTTGGGGAAGGCTCGCCGGCTGGGGGACGACGAGCATCGGTGAGCGCAACAAAAGGAAGCCAGGCATCGGCGTACGACAACGATTTGGGCGCCTGCGGCATGACGGCGAGTCGCTGCCGAATGCTCAGCGATGGGGCGAGTTGGTTAAGGCGTCAGTGGCGCCTTTGCTCGTCGCCAAGGATGGCACGTGCGCGATCTGAAGTACAACGCCGGCCAACTTCGGCCTCCGAGGCTTCCCTGACACCCTCCTCTACCACTACCTCAATAAAAAGGTGAGCTTCCCACTCTCCATTTTTCCCCAAAACTTCCAATGACTGTTCAAAAAATCATCCAAGGAAGAGTCAGTAGCAGGAGAGTGGCAGTAGCACCAGCCCAAAGCTAAGGAAGATCAACTCCTTTTTGCCATTGGCTTTTAACCTCTTGTTCTATGTGATTGTTCTCAGGTCTTCGAAGGATTAGGGCTTAGGGCAACTCGATGGCAGCCAGTCGGAGTTTGCTAAGTTGCATATGCAAGTCCTTTTGAAATATGAAACTTCTGTGTGGTGATGAGCTTCTGCTCATCTTGCTTGATTCATCTCCGGTGAAGGTGTGTGCCTTTTGATGCATTCATTTCCTCTTTCATACATGGTGTTCATCTTTGTTTTGGAGAATAGCACCCTTGCTGATGTTCATCTTCTCTATGTATGCAGGGGGCTTGTCCTTCCATGGTGCTCAGCCACGGACAGATTTGGAGGGAAAATAGGAGATCCTGACGAAAATGAGCATGCTAGCGGTGGATCCAAGGATGCATGGTGATTGTGCCGGGTTTGTGCTCTGGCTCTTCTGTTGGGTAAGCTTCTTCACCCTTCTTGTCAAGGAGATGTTCATGTCTAGCTAGGTTCCTATAAAGGGGATTTTTTTTCTTCCAGTTCACCAGATGCTGAGATCTAGCTAGGCTTCCATGTAGAAATGTTGTTGTCTTTGAAAGTTTGTTGGGTGCCTCAGCTAAGTTTCTGCAAAGTGGATTTTTGTTTGTTACTGCCCAGGAGATGCTCTCGGATCGTCCCGATC